GCCAACACAATTGTAAAGTTAGATAAAAATGCTTTCTTCCCCCTCAGAACAACCGTAGATAGCTATTTAAATATAATGGTGACCTTTTAATATAGCAGAGCTCAACCCTCAGTACCAGTTAATCAGGAAGCAAAACTCTTACATTAAAAACAAAGAATTTTTAAAGAACAAGTTCCCTCCAAAAGTTAATGTCTTTCTGAATGACTATGTATTGTCACAATGACATAACTAATTTCTTATTTGTACTTCTTGTTGCTAATAAAATTCTTACCCATACTAATTTACCTGACATTACAATGAGCTAGAAGGAGATTAACTCTAATACTCAACTTCATGTAGATGGAACTGGAGGGTTTCTAGTTGGACTGGTGATATTATCTGCGGTTCTACTGTGTAAATGAAAGGTACAGAGTGTCTTCTAGGACTATAGATGTTTGATGCTTTGAACTGGGCAGGGCTGAAACATGCAGCTTACTTAATCTGTTCAAATTAATATTAAGACAGTGTGGAGGGGCTTCCCTGGTGGTGCAGTGATTAAGAATCCGCCTGCCAATGCAAGGGACACGGGTTCGAGCCCTGGTCCAGGAAGATCCCACGTGCCACGGAGCAACTAAGCCCATGTGCCACAACTACCGAGCCTAGGCTCTAGAGCCCGTGAGCCACAACTACTGAGCTTGTGTGCCACAACTACTGAAGCCGGCGTACCTAGAGCCCTTGCTCTGCAACAAAAAGAGAAGCCACTGCAGTGAGATGCCCGCGCACCACAATGAAGAGTAGGCCCCGCCTGAGGCAACTAGAGAATGCCTGCACAGCAACGAAGACCCAACCCAGCCAAAAATAAATAAATGAATAAACAAATTAATTAATTTTTTTAAAAAACACTATAGAGATGTTTACATGATCCACAGTTCATGGCTGTCTAAGTCATGGATGTGCTACGATGTCACTTAGCATCTAAATAGAAGCAGGCCAGTACAGGGACACCCCCTTGCTGTTAGGGAGCATTCTATTATAATGATCTATAAAGTGATTCTTGTATTTATTGCTGAGTCCTCAGTGTTTGCAATAGTGCCTCACATATACTAGACATTCTTTAATTATTTGTTAGAAGAATGAACACTGATCAACACTGCATCGTAAACTCCATGAAAGCACAGACAGTATTTGTGTTATTCTCTAATCATGTCAGCACTAGCATGGTGTCTGATGCAAGGTGCCGCTCCATAAATTTAAACCGAATGAATGAATAATCAGTCGATTAAATAAATTTCTTTGGGTACCTGCTGGTCACAAAGCTAAATCTAGGATCATGTTTTTAGAAGCGCTTATGTAAGAGGGGCAGGGATTGGGAGGTGGAGGTGAGAATCCAAGACCAAGTAGAAAGTGTCAACCGGAAAACAGGAAAAGCATTAAAATAAAATGTTTTTTAGAAGTTCTGATTTCTTACTTAAATGCTATCTTAAGGTGTCAAAAAAGCAGATTTGGAGATCTTATATTCATCATCCACCCATCCATTCCCCAATGCCTGGCAAGGCAATTCATTACTCCAAGTGTTTTCATTTCTTATTCCAGACAATTCCTTGGAAATAAATCCAATCAATCAACACCCATTAAGCACCAATATTATACTTAGTCGTAACTGGGTTCTGGTTTCATCCTTAGATGAAAAACATTGTAAACATAAAAAACATAGATGAAAAACTCAAATCACAGTTTAATCCAGGGACTTTAGGAGGCAGATCTCAATTTCAACATGGGGTATTTACCTAAATCCCTGAAACGTTAAATTCACAAGGAAATGTGACCAAATAAATAATAGAAGTCACCATCATAACCAAACAGCTCTTTCTTATTTATAAAGCTTTTTCATAAACACTATTTCTCACTCATGTTCAATAAAATACTGTGAATGAGAGAGGAAATTATTATTATGTCCATTTTCATGGGTACACTTAGGATCAGGAAACAAATAATGCAGTCCAAAGTAACGCAGATGGTAAGAAACAGAGATAGATCTCAAATCCAGGTCTTGCCATTCCAAATTCCCATGCTTTCCCCACTACACTTTGCTGTTATACGATAAACATTCCTCAAGGACCCCATATCAACATGCTGTGGATTCTTCTAAACCTAGTGGTGCCTTTCCATCATCCGCCATTGATTCCTTTTGAGACTGATGGTACCTGTAAAATGACGTGTACAAAAACTATTCCAAAGTTTCACGCAGACACTATTGCTCCTTTGAAAGCCTCAGATACATAGCTCCTCTAGCTTTCAGGGCCTCCTTTGAAATACGACTCTGAGGGAGAATTTGGGTTGCTTTGGCCTTAACTGCTACCACTACACAAATGTCCCTTTACTCTATATCTTCTTTGTGTCAAATCCCTTGCATTCCTGCTAGCTGCCTCCAAGCTTGCCAGAATCAAGAACTTGGATAAAAACTAGCTGGCAGAAATTCAATCCAGGCAAGACAAAAGTGATGCTGATAGGCAGACATATTTAGAGTAAATAAGGAGAAGTGCTGTTTCGCTGGCAATCGGGACATCGTACCCACCAAACATAAACAGCTTTGTGGTGTTACTGGACTCTGTTGCTTCTGGACTTCCTAACAGCTACTGTGGCTGGAAATGCCATCTTCCATCTCCAGCTGGCTTGAAGGCTGCATACTGTCTTCCAAATTAAGTTTCTGCCACAGTGATGTACACATTTGTCATATCCAGCTGGACTACTATAATGCGTTCTAGCTGGTTCTCAATACACAAAACTACATAAACGTTACCGACAACAGTGTAATGTAATTTACTAGTTGGGAAAACCAGTCCTCAGAATTAGATGCATGCTTGGGTCTTTGGACAGGCCCTATGGCTGTCAAGTGGACGAAGGAGTATTAACTTTAGTCACTAAAGACCAAGTCACATCATAGGCTGATAGGAGTCCCATGCCCAGAACTTTGTAACAAGGATACAAACAGTTGATGAATTAAAAAGAAAGAGAGAAAGAAAGTGTCAAAAATCATAGCGTGTTAGACTTTGACCCTCAAAATGGGTTTATTTGCCTACATGCCTTTCAAAACAAGACTTTTGACGCACACCCTGAGTAAGTCAGATTTAAATAGGTAAGCATTTCTATACTCCACAGGACATCCTTGCTCATTGAAAAACAATGAACAATAAAACATTAAGTGTAAAGTCACCTGTAAAATTCATCCTGTCAAAATGCCACGTAAAAAGTCCACTATTCTTTTATTAATATGAAAAACTGCAACTAGCAACATATTTTTTCAGTTAATTATCTCCAATTTTTGATTCCCAGAGAGTTGAAACTTTGAGTAAAGAAAAAAAAAGTGTGTGTGTCTGTGTGTGTGTACTATGTAGTTTCCCCATTTGGATCAAAATTAAATGGTATAGTGCATAATATAGGCCAGAGATTGGCAAATGTTTTGTTTAAAGCCCAGATAATAAATATTTTAGGCTTTGTGGGATATACGTCTCTGTACAAATGCTCTTAAAGCGCAAGAGCAATCATAGCATGTAAATGAATGAGCACTGGCTGTGTTCCAATAAAACTTTCTTTATGAACTGAAAATTTAAACACCATTCTTAGCTTTCGGGCTGGATTTAGCCCATGGATCATGGTTTGCTGATCCCTGTTCTATGGAGCTTTATAAAATAAGACATAAAATTTCACACCATCAGGAACTAAATCCCTAGCTCTGCTAATGTCTTCCTGGGAGAACTTCGGCAAGTTATTTAAACTGCCTCAGTTTTCTCATCTGTAAAACGGCACAGTTAATAACATAAAAAAACCTCAATAGATTATTGCGAGCATGAACTCTGATAATACATTTTGCAAATGATACTAATTGCACACAGTAAGTGTTTAATAAATGTCGTCTATTAGCATACATTATTATTCTAAAGTTAACTCCTCTTTAGTTTATTTCAGTGAAAGAATTAGAAAAGTAGCCGTTTTCAAAATTATGTTTTTAAAAGCCTAGATATTCTCTTCTCAAGGAGGGATCCAAATTTACCAAAAGATATCAAAGAACATTTGGAATGGGGCAAATGGAGGAACAACCCCGAGTTGCAATACCTGTATCTGCCTACAAGTCCAGCTCCATTTGAACTGACACCTACCCGATTTCTGTCTTCAACTGTCAACAGCTCTTCCATCACACATCTATCCAAGACATCTGTAACCAGAAGCTTGTCCACCAGTGTGGGCTGAAGGAGGTTCAGCAATTGGAGACACTCATCGTGAGCATTCTCAAAGGATGGAGAGGGCAAGTCGGTGAGCTCAGGGTTCACGTAGCGGGCGGCTAAGGGGTTGCCTGCTAGCCGGAGGGCATCCACAAACATCCTAGTCCAGCCGAGGGGCCAGACCCCCTTCTCCAAGGTGTTCAGAAGCAGATCAGCTGCCTGCATGTTCCCGGTGGTGGCGGCCGTCCTCTGAATCTGCTCTTTCACCTCTGCAGGTAGAAAGGTCAGGTAGTCCAGTACTGGCTCCACCTGGATGTACATTTTCACTCGGGCCCTGAAACACGAAATGAGATAGCAGAAATTCTTGTCTGCGGAATACCCATCCGACGACATCTTTCCTTCTCAGAGGCCGGAGAAGATTCTCCCCAGTAGACGGACAAGTTGCCGTTCTCAGCTCAGCGGATGAGATGTGTGGCCCGCTGCTTTGGAGCGGCAGGGTCTGCAGCGATGCTCCTGGCAACGACGGGGTTGCCTGCACGACGCCCAGGCGGGCGCGCGAGGGCGCGGTCGCACCTGGGCAGGCGGGCAGGTAGGCAGGACGCGGCGGCGGCGGGCGCTCGCAGGGGCCGGGGACCGGTGCGCCTCGTCTGCGCACTAGGGTGGAAGCTTCTGGGCCAGCTTTCCGCCAGGCAGTTATATAGTTTGCCTGATTACGGTTTCTGTTTCGATTCTCTTCTTCAGGACTTTCCACACGTAATCCGCCGGGCGGGGAGTGTCTGGTCTGGGAGGAGCCACCCTTTGGTCGGTTCCGGTATGCGCAGTCCTTCGGTCAAGGGCCCTGTGGGAAAAAGAAAAGGAAAGGGAATTCTTTCTTCCAGTGAGTAAGACGGCAGCGCTCCAGCAATGCCAGCGGGTATTTCGTCTACCTTGCAGGGTTTGGCCTTAAAATTCAGACTTCTTTCCCAGGGCCGTCTCGCATCACCCCTTGTCAGCTAAGATGTGGAGGGGGTGCAAGCGCGTGACTGGGGGCTTCCCAGCCCAGAGGGGAAGAGAAACTGCCACAGATCCTGATGTCAGCAGCAAGGTGTTAGCCTTGGCTGGTGAATACAGGCAGCCCCTGGCCGCGCCTGAGTGGTAAGATTACAGGGGACAGGCAGAGAGATGAAGCTAAGAAGACATCTTTTCAGAGATGTGTTAAGCCCAGAACCCCAGGATGAAGTGACCTCTGTACCCTTTCCAGAACAAACCTGCCCTTCTGTGGGTCCCCAAGAAGTAACTCTTTGGGAATTTGTGGGTGGGTATGCAAAAGAGCAAGTAATGATAAGCAATTAACTGTATCGCCTCATGCATAGATAGTAGTATTTATTTGGCTTTGACCAAGGCCTGGTGACAGATGCTGAAGGACTTGAACCACCAACTCAGCTTAGGAGGAAGCCAAGACTGAAGGTTTCCCATCTCCCAGTATGTAAGTTCCCCATATTCTTTAATATACAACTTTCCTTTAATAAAACAAAACAAAATCCCCAACAACTTATTTTTGATGTAGCTGCCATTCTTTTCTTGGATTCAATACAGCAAGTTTTGGCTGAAGCAGCTAGGAACTTAATTAGCAACTAATGTACCAACTTGTAGTAAACATCAACATTTGTCTATGTCATGAGGGAAGAGACACCCACACTGAGAAGTGGCAGCTTTGGTTCAGTACAGAAGCCACATAAATGTGAGTCCTTCACGTGGCTACTCATTCAGGTGTTCTGCAACCCTGGATGACTGTGGGTGGTAGTTTATCTGCTTCATAATGAGAACCTCATGGTCCAGAATTATATGGAGGAGGAAGGGGTCATTTAGGCTGTCAAAAAGATATATTTAGGAAAAGGAATCTGCTAGCAATGCACATTCAATGAAGTTTGGATAGGCCAGGGAAGCTTGGTGGAGTTTTGGACTGGATAAGTGAAACACAGAATCTTTGTATTTACCGGAGGCATAGAAAATACCCAATTGAGTACTTTATAGCTGTCGTCTTATATTATTTGCTAATTATATTATGTAGCTAAGCCTTTTTTCTTCCCCAAGGATTGTAAGCTGCTTGAAGATAGGACATATTTACACAGGACCAGTACAATACTCTACAAATAGTAGGCCCTTGCTGATTTTCCCCCTGAATGGGAATTTTATTTGCCTTGACCCGGCAGCTGGCTTAATGTCAAACACACAGTGAAAGTTGTTGAAGTGAAATAGAACCTTGGCCTTGCAGGTGAGCCTGATTTATGCTATTCTTTGCTGTCTCTTCATAAAATAGGACCATATCTTTATTTACTTTGGAGAGTTTATCTTGTAGGTAGAAGATAACCACATTAGACATTTCTACAGAAGTATTCAAATTATCAATTTTAGTTATGTGTCTACAAAGATATCTGTTAGGGCTATTAAAGTCCCGCTCACCCCCTCAGGTGCTGGCAGGTTTTATTCAGTATGTTAAAGCAAGAACAAACAAACAAACAAACCAAAAAACATTCTGTCCCCTGTTACTCATCCGTCTGTCCTTTAGTTTCAAACATTGGGGAATAAAAAGGGGTTGCTTATTAAATATGGGGAAATAATGACATCTTCTTAACACCACAGAATTGCTGTCCTGGTGAAAGAGGGTCAAAAGTGGAAGTTTAAATGTTTGGTATTTAGATTATACCATTCATTCATTCATTCAATCACTTTAAAAAATGTTATTAAGAACCTACTATGTGGGGCTTCCCTGGTGGCACTTAAGAATCCGCCTGCCAATGCAGGAGACATGGGTTCGAGCCCTGGTCCGGGAAGATCCCACACGCCGCGGAGCAACTAAGACCATGTGCCACAACTACTGAGCCTGTGTGCCACAACTAATGAAGCCTGCGCACCTAGAGCCCGTGCTCCACAGCAAGAGAAGCTACCGCAATGAGAAGCCCTCGCACTGCAACGAAGAGTAGCCCCTGCTCACCGCAACTAGAGAAAGCCCGCACACAGCAACGAAGACCCAAAGCAGCCAAAAAATAAATTAAGTAAATCTATTTTTTTAAAAAAAAGAACCTACTATGTGACCAGTGTTGCTCTAGGAGCAGTTTATAAAACTAAACAAAGTTCCTACTTTTATGGGTCTGACATTCTAATGGGAGTGGGAAGACAGAAAATAAATAATAACTAGAAAATATACAGTGTGCCAGGTGAGGATAAGTGCTATGAGGACTCTGGTAAGATCTAGCTAATAATGCACATTGCAGTTTTACTGGTTGATTTTCCATATAGATGCCCTCTCCTGACCCTCACCGTTAGCATCACATAATACCCATCAATAAAAATTATCAATACATATTTACTTTCAGGTAAGAGTCACTTTGCTGGATGAAGATTGAGTGATGAGGACTGATCCTGAGGGAAAATAGAAACCTCTTTATTTTTGGGAATCTACCATAGTCTTTTTTTTTTGCAGTACGCGGGCCTCTCACTGTTGTGGCCTCTCCTGTTGCGGAGCACAGGCACCAGACGCGTAGGCTCAGCGGCCATGGCTCACGGGCCCAGCCACTCCGCGGCATGTGGGATCCTCCTGGACCAGGGCACGAACCCGCGTCCCCTACATCAGCAGGCGGACTCTCAACCACTGCGCCACCAGGGAAGCTCTACCATAGTCTTGATAGAGCCACTGCTGGAGGAAAGAAGTTGAGGAAAAAGAAAGCCAGTCTCTCAAAATGTATCCTTTTTCTTCATCTATATTTTTGCACCATGGTTTAGTTTATTTTCTTTTTTGTTTTAATAAGGGTTTCCTCTGTCACATTTCTTAAGATAACTTTTATTAACATCCTCCTTATTGTTTCTAAACATAAGTTTCTGTTTCCTTTCTCCTTTGAGGTAGGAAGTCATACTGAGCTATATCTTTTCCTTTTTTCTAGAGCTGCCTTTTCTTTTTAAACCCAAAAGAAATATTTCAGTCTCCATCAGTTTTAAAAGTCACCTTTTAGCATTTTGTTTTTTAAATTGTAGTTCAGGAAGGTGCTAGATAACAGATTCTTGCTGTTATCCAACTTACCATTTGAGTTTTCTACAGCTAAGAAGTAGTAAAAATCGTAACTGCCACTTCTTTGACAAACTAGAACTACAATTTAATGGTCACACATGGCAGTAATGCCTTTTCCAAAGAAAATGACAATAAATTTATTTTGATGAGGAAATGCTTCTAGAATTGTTGCTCTGCTTTTTTCACTTGTTTACTAAATTGTATCAATAAAGAACCTATTCTGTGTAATTTACAGTTAGATACCCTTTGACTAGCAGAATAGAGCTGTGATTAAGCTTAGAGACTGTGAGCTCAGGATATCAGGATTCACATCTCAGCACTGCCTCTTAATTGCTGTGTGATCTTAGGAAAATAACCTCAAATTTCTCAGTTGTAAAACGAGAATGATAATGATACCAGTACTATGTCATAAGGTTGTTGGAAGCACTTAGCACTAGTCCTGGCATGTTATACATGCCCTATACATGACTGCCAGCATTTTTATACAAACGATGAGTAAAAGATGTTGCTAGCCCTCAACAAATGTACAGGTGATAGAGGAAATAACTTAGTTATACACATAAACATTTATAATAACTAGCCATCTAACTGATACTTACACAGGATCCCTTTTTGCAAGAAACAAAAGCTGATAGGCTGATTTAGCAGAAAAGTTTATTGAAAGGATACCGTTTATATGTCAATGCTACTCTCTCACTTCGTCCCAGCTTACCCTTCCCCCTCCCCGTGTCCTCAGGTCCATTCTCAAATAGGTAGCTAGTGGGAAGCAGCCGCATAGTGCACGGAGATCAGCTGGGTGCTTTGTGACCACCTAGAGGGATGGGATAGGGAGGGTGGCAGGGAGGCACAAGAGGGAGGGGATATGGGGATATATGTATATGTATAACTGATTCACTTTGCTGCACAGCAGAAACTAACACAACATTGTAAAGCAAGTATATGCCAATAAAGATGTTAAAAAAAAGGATATTGTTTATATTTCAAAAACATAAATAGTTCCAAAGTAGAAAAAAATTCTAAGTTTACTAGATCATGATACCCATTTCTTAATTACTTCCAAAATTTCAGTTATAAACTTTTGGTTTTAAGTGTGCACATGTGAAGCCCTGATCCCTTACTTTTAAGTTTGTATTGTTTATATTGTTTGTATTTTAGGATATGTCATTATATTTGTACATGTAAAGATTTTCTAAATATATATATATATTTATATATATATATTTGTACATGTAAAGATTTTATAAATATATATATTTATTGGGGTTCGTGTTCAAATATTTTAGCTGATAGGAATCAAGAACAAAGTACTTGGGGCTTCCCTGGTGGCACAGTGGTTGAGAATCTGCCTGCCAATGCAGGGGATACGGGTTCGAGCCCTGGTCTGGGAAGATCCCACATGCCGCGGAGCAACTGGGCCCGTGAGCCACAACTACTGAGCCTGCGTGCGCGTCTGGAGCCTGTGCTCCGCAACAAGAGAAGCCGCGATAGTGAGAGGGCTGCGCCCCGCGATGAAGAGTGGCCCCCGCTTGCCACAACTAGAGAAAGCCCTCGCACAGAAACAAAGACCCAACGCAGCAAAAAAAATAAATACATTTATAAAAAATAAAAGAACAAAGTACTTGGAGACTACAGCTCTAGAGAGCTTCCCAAGGGCTAGAGGTTTTGTTAAATTTGAAGAGCAGTATTAATAAGAATGAAGGGGGAAGGTGTGGAGGTGAAAGGAGAGAAAGCTCCGGGAGGAAAAGAAATTCAACGTTTAGATCGTAGAAGTAGAATATTCCAAGTTGCTAGCGTTATTATTGCTTTGTGACAAATGTTGGTATATTAAGTTAATACACGGAACTTGAATATATTTCATAGCCTATTGCCAGACATGCTGCCCAGCAGATTTGTTCCAGAATTGGACCCTTTTTAAAAAAATAATTTTTATTGAAAAAATAGTTTATATTCACTGTAGAAATTTCAGGGGGAAAATCACATCATATTGAAGAAGATTATATGAATTACTTATAATCCTATCACCCAGAGATAGGCATTATTAATATTTCAAATGCATTTCCTACCAATATTTAATTGCACAAATAAATGTGTAAATGCATGTGTGTGCACATACCTATACACACTCAACATCTGTTCATCGGAGAGTGAGCTGAGGTGACCTCAACTGTGAGGAAGAGATCTCCAAGGAAGAGATCTCCATAGGTAGATTTATTGACATTCCAAGGGGAGAAAGAATCTGTGAGAGATTCCCTGCAGCAGGGGTGGCCAGGATATAATAAGTTCATTCCTGAGTTGCCTTTGCTGTACTGACTCTTCTTAGTCCCAGGTCTTCCATGAAAGGCTGCCACATGTAATAGGTTTGTGTTGTGGTGCTTTGGTTAATAAAGGAGAGGCAGTGGCCCCATGTGGTGGAGCAGAGCTACACAAAGAGAAAAGTGTATCTGTAGAAAGTGAGACAGGGAGCATGGATTGAGAATTCCATCCAAGAGAGACAATGAGAGCATAAGCCCTCTAGGGATTGTCAGACATCTTAGGAACTGTGCCAGACTTACCATGCTCTACAGGATACGAAGGGCCATCTCAGTAGGCATACTTTCAGCTTCAAGGTAAAGACGATGCCTGAGTAGGTGTGGCCCAGCAACAGGAATTGATTTTTCTCACATAACAAGAAGAGCCAATGATTCATTGAGGTCAGAACTCTGGGATGTATCCTGTAATTTTCTTGGCTTTTCTCTCATGGTTGTAAAATGGCTACTACAGCTCTGAACATCATTTCTTCCTACAACTCCAGTTAAAAGTAGGTTGTAGCAGCATGGAACATAGAGTTTCTCCCACTTGCCTTCTCCACAGTGAAGGAAAACAAAAGTGTCCCTGGAGTCTCACAGCAGAATTTTTTTTATATGTCTCATTGGCTAGAACTGGGCTGTGACACCGCCCCTAAAATGAAGTGATACCTGCTCAAAATACTAAAAAATTCTGATTTCTAATAGTAAGACACTGTTTGTCACAGGAGCTCAAGCCATTTTATTTGACCATTAAAATACAAAAATAACCCAGAGAAGGCTAGAAAAATTTGTTTTTTAGATGCTTTCCTTACCTGAGCACACACATTGCCCTTGAAGAGCATCCCCAATAGGAAGTACCAAAGCAGCCATTCAATTCTTTGTTGTGGTGGCAAAGTGAGCTAGAAAGTTGTTCTCAAGCCTAGTTGTATATTTGACTCACAGGGAGACATATATACAATTATTTATTGCATCAGAATCTCCACGATTGGAACTTTATTGTCAATTATTTCTCCTTTCAATTCCACCTGTGATTCCACTGTCCAGCCAGAGTTGAGAGCTAGAGATGAGGACCTCTGCTAGCCTAGGGCCAACAGAGAGTACAGTGGAGTCTCGTTACTCGCTATAAACTCACCCTGAATTAGCAAATATGGAACGACTTCTCCTGGGGAAGTATTAGGTTCCTGAGAGCCTAATTCACAACATTTTTAAAACCAATCAATGCATAACCTTGCTTTGCGTGTGTTCCTATTTAAAGACCCCTTATTTAATATATCTCGTTAATTCACTGACATTATACTCAGGGTCAACAACACTGTAACTCACACCTGAATGAAGCTTATCTAACACATATTTCTCTTTGAGGCACATCACAGCCTTCCAGTGCTTGGATACACTAGATAACACTTCAGGACTATGCTTGGTGCCATTTAAAACAGTGAAATCACCAACAAAAAGCACAAAAATATAAAAAATTAGCACTAAACATATGATGAAAAGGACACTGGTTTGCAAGATGAAAACTGAAACAAGTAGTAGAGCATCCCCTTGTTCAACCTCAGCTAGGAAAATTAAATTTTATAATATTTAAAAATATTTAAAATAAAATATTTCCTGATATACACCTAAGAGAATTTAATTTTTCTCCTCTGAATTCCTAATTAGAATGTGTGTATCCGTGTGTTGCATTTGTGTGTCTATATGCATATTTGTGTTGAGGGTATAAAGATTCAACAGCTCTAGGGGAGCTTGCATGGTCCTTCCCACCCCTCAGAAGTGGTACACAATTTTAGAACTTAATTGGCACAGAGGGTTTCATTTCATTGAGTCTTTCTCCCTCAAATGCAATTAAAAACCTCAAGAGGGACGTATCGTACTATGTGGGAGATTTTTAAAATTTTAATGATAGCGTGGTCCAAATTATTTTGTTACTACAAATGATCTCTTTTAAAATACTTTAAGATGAAGGATTTATGATTTTAACAGATGGATGACTGTAAATAAGCTGCAAGCTTGGACTGTAAGTGATGTTTTACATGTCAGAAATATTTTGTTTTTCAGGAATAGACTGCTTATGTGCACATAAATGTGCTGTGTGTTGTTAATTAGGGATTAAGAATAACAGTAACATACAGTATTAGTAGAACATCACAATGAACTGTAGAGAAAACCTGAGCT